AGGCAAGCGGTCTGTTTTAAAGCAGCTTAATGGCATACATGCATCTTTAACAATACATATACATCCTTTGATTTATAAGCTCTAATGACATGAATACCTTAGAAACTTGTGCAAAACTCTTCTGGAGATTGGGAGGAGAAGATTGGTGGTAACCAGTCAGCAGCCTCAGCATATTAGAACTTACAGAACTTGTTCACTTTAGGACATTAAAATGTTTGTGTTTTATGGATGGGAAAGGTACTTTCAAGCCAGGAAAAGAGAACCTGTGACCCTGCAGGTGACGTTGAACTCCAGCTTACATCCTTTCAGACCATTCAGTGTTGACTACGGCTGATGGGAGCTGGAGTCCAATGATACCTGGTGGGACACTGGCAAACACCTAAAATTTTACTGCCTGGTTTCCCCCCTCTATCCTGTGCTTTTCTCTGTTCCGTGTTCAAGCAGAGGGCTGAGAAAGACTGTCTGAAACTCCAGAGAGCCACGCACTACTGAACTAGACAGACCAAATGATTCAACTCAGAATAAGGCAATGGCCTATACAGTGGTACCTCAAGTTACAAACGCTTCAGGTTACAAACTCCGCTAACCTGGAAAAGTTAACTCGAGTTGAGAACTTTGCCCCAGGATGAGAACGGAAATCGTGTGCCTGCGGCACAGCAGCAGCAAGAGGCCCCATTAGCGAAAGCGCACCTCTAGTTTCAGGTTAAGAACGGACCTCCGGAATGAATTAAGTTCATAACTAGAGGTACCACTGTATAACAAATAGCCATGTGTTGCAGTGCTAATGCCGGGGCTGTGTGGGCAGTTGTTGGAGCCAACTTCTACAGGCCAAGGGGGGTTGCCCCTATAAAATATTTGAGGGGGCCTGCACTCCAAAGTTGATGGGCATTGCCATTCAAATGGTGTGTGTGCACTGTGTCATGTGATTATGTGGGGTGGGACTTACCTGGGCCCCCCAATATTTTATTCAAGTTGGCGCCCCTGGTTGCTTATAAGAATCAGTGATCAAAAGGGGAAAGCTGGGTCCTACCCTGCTCATTCATTCTCCCTGCAAATGTCCCCACAGTGGTATTCATTCTCCTTACTCACCAAGGCCCCCAAAGCAGAACTCAGTTGAGGCTGCTGGACAAAGTTGCCATAAGGAACATTTACAGGGGAGAATCATCCCCCTATCCAGTTCTCCCAATTTGTCCTTACAGTTGGCCACTATAATGCATTCACACTACTTTGGAAAATGTGGGTTTGTGACATGCAATTCAAACTTCAGGGTGTGGAAAGACACTTCTAAGTGTGGTGAGGGGAAGTGGCTTTTTTGGTTTAAAGAACTGTGGTGGAAAAGCTCAATAGGGAAACTCTCACCAGGAAACTTCTGACAAGCTTCTGAGGAATTCCAGGCTTCCTAGGTACACAACATTAAAAACAGCAAGTTAAGGGAAGAACAAGACAGAGGCACTTCTGCAAACCAAAGCGCTCTGCTCGCCATCAGCTTTCACTGACAGCAGGAAACACAACCCTGATCATGGTTGGTCTTGATGCTGTTAACAGTGAGGCTTGAAGATTCTTCCTCCTGCTTCACTTTACAAACCTGCACTGTGACTAATCTTATGAACCACTGCTCTAATCCAGCTGATCTACCTGATTATAGATTATATTTTATTTGAGGGGTTTTTAAATATTGTAATTCTCATGAATGCATTTTAAAAATCCTAGTTACACCAGTGAGGCACATTCTGCTTTCAGTATAATGAATGACTAATATTTGACAGAGTGGGAGTCATCAATGCAGGCAAAAAACTGAAACCAGAAACTGAACAGACAAAGATGACAATGTGTAATTAGAAGTGTATTGTGACATTTTAAAAAAAACCTTACATTACGAATTTGTAGTGAATAGAAAATGAGGAGAATGGAGCAAAAGCACCGCAGGTTATTCAGATTTATTCTTATTCTTTTAGGCATGTTTCTTCTTTCAGTTTTTACCCCAAGAAGCATTCCACCAACTAGACACTAATAAAATTACAGGAAAACAGAGACACAAGTAAATCACAGTGAGACAAAAGTTTACCATGCTCTCTACATTATTTGTAAGAATGCAAAGGATATTTATAATATGCATATATACTAAAAATTACATTGCTAGTTTTATTTAGTGTTGGTATTTAAAGGAGCAATATAGCCTTCGCCATCGTGTTGGTAATGGAAAGAGCAGTGTTGTCAGATCCAGTCTGGAACAGAGTCCATGCTATTCATAGCTTCATAAATAGGAACGCAAATGTAAAGAGAAAGTTCTGCAGGTGCACCTTGAACTTCTCCTTTCATGGTGCTGCAGTGACAGGAGATGTGCATATGCCTATCATCTCATTGCAGCACCTATGAAGGGAGAAGTTAGAGTTGCACCTGCAGAACTTTCTCTTTACATTTACTAAAGGCATCCCATGACAGATGTGCAGCTGGCAGGGCATACCTGATGGTAGCTCCTGCAAAACAGGTGAAGGGATGTATTAGACTATGGACAATTGCACTTTTCCAGAAGGGTCTTGCTTTCTGTTTTCAAACGTAACCAGACAAAGGCATCCGGCATTCTACTGACAGACAGATCAATGGACAGTTGGCTAGATTCAGCCATGGCTGGCCCCACCATATAGGGAAAATGAGGCAACTGCCTCAGGCAGCTGATGCTGTGGGGCAGGCAGCAGGTGCCAAAGTGTTGGGAGGACATAGCTGTGTGTGCCATGTGCTTCCTGGCCTACATCCCCCTAAGCTTGCTTTCCACAGAGAATACTTTTCTATTGCCACAGTTGAAGTCAGATTCTATAACTTATTTACAGGGAATGGCATGAGGGGGCGCCTCAGGCAGGAAAATGTCTTGAGAAAGGCAGCTCCTATTTTGAATAGTCATGACTTTTCTCCGTAAGTTTTGCTTCCTTAAAAATTAAACTCACGAGGCACGCAATGAGTAAGTGGACATTTCAGCATTTGTTTTAACTTGAGCATCATCAGTTTGAGGTCCCCATGGAGAGCAGTTTAAACACATAACAGTGCATCTTAAAAGCTAAGGTTGGGGGGAATCCCTATCCTATCTGCTGCAGCACCAGAGAATAAGTCATTAGGAAAGGAAATAACTATCACGTCACTAGTTATCAATGTCTACTAGCTACAATGGCTATGTTCTGCTTCTACAGTCTCTCAATGTCAGTTGCTAGTAATCACAAGTGTGGAGGGTGCTGTTGAGCTCAAGCCCTGCTTTTAGGCTTCCCTCAGGTATTTGGTTGGCCACTGTGAGTTTCAGATGCTGGACTAGATGAGTCAATGGCCTAGTCAAGCAGACCAGTGGCCCATCTTTTTAGGTCCTTAATAGGTTACCTGTGTAACATGACTACCTGTGATGCTGATTGAACAGCACAAACTAAGGTCCTTCAGCCACACTAGAGCACTTCAGTACAGCTGCAGCACTGCTTTTCCCCAATTGTCTTGAAGTAGTAATTTTACCTTGAAGTGGAATTAAAATCTATTGCTATATTATGCAGCAATGCCGTTTTGTACTGTCTGGTCACAAGGAAGTTCCATTCAGCAAAGGTCTTTCTTAAACAAAGGCTTCCATTTTGCAACCCCAACCCTTTTTGTTTCTTCCTATTGTTGAGGGTTGTAGAATTAACGATTAATAGCCTCCTTTGCCCCTTTAATTAGCTTCTCTAAATTGCCCCAGTCCCAGTTTTCCTTTGGAGGTGGGACAGGAAAGATGATTTAATTACTAATTTCCTCTTATTACTCCTTTCTCCTTTTTATTCTTTTCACTAATGAGAAATAGTGGTTTTTATGGCACTGTTTTACCCCCTTTTTAAGGAATGTTTGTTTGTTTACTAAATTTGTTAGTTGCTCGTTGCTGAAAAGGTCTCCAAATGCCCAAATGTTTGAGGTATAGACTTAAGTGGTTTTTTTTTTAAGTTACATTAAAATATAAACATATATGCACAAAGCAAATACTGCAGCAATAAGTAATTGAAGCTGCCACCCCCATAACCACTGGCTTTGGAGCACTTTAGAAAGGAGAAAAGCAGGAGCTGTTCATCACTAACAGCTCAGCCTGGATCAACAGGAAGCAATAAGGCAAGTTGTGAACGTGCAAAATGGAAGAGTTCAATTTAAAGGCACAGAAGCCCTGGAAAGCCTTAATAGCGTTTTAGCTATCCACACTGCATAGATCAGCGTTGCAATAAAGTTTTCTCTCAAAATAATCACCACAAAACATGTCTGGGAAACACTGGGAACAGTTCCCTGGAAAGCTCTAGAATGCAGTGGGGCAGTGCTTCTCAAGCAGTGGACCAGGATGCACCTGTGGGCTTCGCTTTCAAGTGGGTCTCAGTGCCACAGCCTGCCTTGTGCCTCCTCAATTGTTGATTCCACCCTCTAGTCATCTCATAGCCTTTGGATTTAACAAGCGCCAGCACCAGCAACTCCTTGCATGCTGAGTAAAGATGCCCAGGAGACCTAGAGCAGGGATCAGCAAACTTTTTCAGCAGGGGGCCGGTCCACAGTCCCTCAGACCATGTGGGGGGCGGACTATATTTTGAAGAAAAAAATGAACAAATTCCTATGCCCCACAAATAACCCATAGATGCATTTTAAATAAAAGCATACATTCTACTCATGTAAAAACACACTGATTCCTGGACCATCCACAGGCCAGATTTAGAAGGGGATTGGGCCAGATCCAGCCCCCGGGCCTTAGTTTGCCTACCCATGACCTAGAGCAGGGGTGTCAAACTCAAATTCAGCAGTTTGGTCACCCTCAAAGGGCCGGTTGTATCTGTAGGATGGCATGCGCTCAACATAAAAACAAGTGGAGGTTTCCTGAATGCATGTAAAGTGGAGGTTTCCTGTGTAGAATGGCAGGCGCCGCTAGAGGGCAGACGTTCTCTGGCTTGTAGGCTGCCACGCATGCGCTGAAGAGGCGGCTTTCTTGTGTCAAAAAAAAAAAGCGAGAATAAAAGGTGAAGGCTGGCGGCCGGCGGCGGCTGCACGGGCCACATGACGAGGTCTGGCGGGCCAGATTCGGCCCGCGGGCCTTGTGTTTGACACCCGTGACCTAGAGGTTTAGTGGCAAGCAGAGGGTGAGGAAGGAAGGAGTTTCCTTCCCCTGAGGGAAAGAGTAAGAGAAGGCCTTGAAGGACAGTGGAAAAGGGGCTTCTGATGATGACGTTGATTACTTAAACTGGGAATAGGAAGAAAAGGGACAAGACAGGAAAGTTATTATTGCTATACAGCAGGAAGATGCGGATGTAAAAGGGTGGAGGAATGTAAGAAATTGTGGGGGAGAAAGGTACAAGAAGGTACAAGTTTAGTGTAGAAGGAGAATGGGTAAAGAAATTACAGGAAACAGTTAAACAATACTGTAAAGGGCATGTGGGGGTGAGAAACGAAAAACATGAAAGAAAAGGCCTTCTCTCCTCAGAGCCTCTGGATAAGCAAATGCGAACAAGAACAGAGAGATTGAGCCACAATACCTCAGATAAATGTCTGTACTTAGAGGAAAGCTGGCCTATGGAACTGCCTCTGTGGCTAATAATTTAGCAATTTCCAAAGATGGATTAGATATTGTTAGAAGGTGATGCCACTAATTACCAGTTGTAGTTATACCAAAGTCTCCTTGCATCCGCACCATTTTGTGACTTGTTCTACCCCTGCACTACTATTTTGTGACTGGTGGGCCTTAGTAACTTTCAGCAGCCTCAAGTGGGCCCTGCAGGTAGAAAGTTTGAGAACACATTCAGGAAGCCAAGAATGACAACATGTGGATTCTCCATAAGAGTGAGTGAACAAAGAGTGGCAATTCCAGGAGGAAATTGGTGCAGAAGCAGAAATACCCTAATGCAAGATGGTTGTATGTTAATACTGGCTTAGGGTTGCTCTTGCCACACCAGTAACATCTACCAGCACCAGACATATTGAGGCCACCTTATTTATTGTAAGCCTTCTAGAGAACTTTGTATGATGGGGCTATAAGTTAATGCCATCTATGAACAAATAAACAAATAAAGCAGAGTAGCATTGGCTCAATATTGGACAGAGAAGGTTATGTGGCATTTTTACTGGAATGGGGGGGAGCAGTTGCTAAGATTTACTCTGTGTTGTTTTAAAGTATTTTTGACCACCTCAAATATATTGGTGCAACCCAACGCAGTTAATAATCTGGAGCAATCTTCTGTGATTATAGGCAGCATAACTGATAGATGCCCCCCCCCCACGTCACTGCAGTACCAGCTGTTCCATGCACTGTGATGGTGACAAGCAGGAATAGCCAACCTGGTAACCTCCCAATGTTTTTAGACTCCAACTCCCATCAGCCTTAGCTGTAATGCCCAATGGTCAGGGATTATGGGAGCTGTCCAACAACATTTGGAGAGCCCCGCATTGGTTACCCCAATCTATAGGAATTTAGCCCCTATAGTTCTTATAATTCCACAGAAGAAACCATTCTTATTCAAAACCAATTTAAGTCTGTAATGCAGATATACCCTAAGGGCCTTTTCACACATAGTTTGAAAATTGCTTGAATTATCAGCTCTAGCTCATTACATTCCCTTCCTCCATAAGTAAAGATTTCTCCTGTAGTAAAGATTCTCTTGATCCCTCCAGCTAAAAAAGGGAAAATGCTCTATTACTTGCTTAGAACTAAATCTATACAGCTCAAATTTGATGGAGGGCCAGTCACCTGCTTTAGGTAAAGCATCACAAGTGACAACAGCAGCATATGAAAGTTAAAATATGCTTGTAATCTACCATCTTGCTTCATCCTCCCTTACTTTAACAATAGGATTTCTGAGCATTCAAAAAATTTCATTAAGCTCGTACTCACATGCACACAAATAGTGTAAGAAAGGCTCAAAGCACTTTAATTAGTGTGTGCATAAATGTGTGGACTCTTTGCAAGTACTTAACTGCTGATCTTGCAGTTTCCCCATACTTTCTGAGATAGTCTATTATTAGTATGTACATCATGCTTTTCATGTACTTACAGTGAAGCCTGTTTTATTCAATATTAATTATTTATCATTAACATGAATTGACTTCAGTAGATAGTGATAATGTAACTGTTTTCATAACCTTGGTTTTGATTGGTTAAAAGAAAGAAATCACCATCTAATCAAGAATGCTTAGCTCTGTGTTAGATTATTCATTCTTTTTATTCCTCAAGGTAACATAAATAATCTCCTTTCCCCTATTATCCTCATAACAACAACCTTGGAAGGTAAGTCAGGCTGACCAACTCAGGGTCACTCAGTTTTGCAATGTGACAAAATTAGCTCCATCTGCAGATAGCTAAAATTTGCTTTCCAAAGATACAGATTTCTGTTTTCTGATAATTTTTTAGTCAAACTCCACATACTGGAAAAACAACCTATTCAGGTTTTTCTTCTACACTGAGATATTACCCCCCCCCCGTGAGTAAATTCTATCTAAATGTTTTAAACAGCATCAGTTCTTGTACAGAGCATGACCAACCTATCTCCTATCCTGATATCACTCTGACACATTGGGTTCGTGTTGTTCTGTATTGCAGAGGGCTTATCAACATGCTTCTTTCCTCACAATCTTTCTTTTATATTTTCCGTAAAAGATGTAGGACCAAATTAAGCTGTACATCTTTGATTTACTTCCCTCTGTGAGTGGACTCATGTAATATTGTGGTGGTTCCTTCAGTGTTTAGGCCACCCTAAAAAAGGGTGCCGGAACTCACCATGAACACCTCCCTCATTCTCTTAGAATGGCAATGGTGCCCACCTGAGAACTGAATTCCAGCAAGTTCCAGCTGAAAAAAGCCCTGAGTATGAGAATCGCTGGACTCTAAGCAGGGGTGCCGACTTCGGCCCCAGGTTATGGGTACCCAGCATGCACAATGTGATGTCATGACATCACATTGCAGCGTGATGTCATGATGTCACGTGTCCCATGGCCTCAGAACCTGACTTCCGGTGGCCTTGGACAGCATCTCTGAGGTCTCATGACTTCCAGTGGTTTGTGAGGCATCAGAAGTTGCATCGGGGGCCCTGCAGTGAAATGTTTTGTGGGTGCTCGGGCCCCCAGGGCCCCCTAGAGTTGGTGCCCTTGGCTCTAAGGATCCTGTTTGCATACTTCATCTGTAGTTTGAAGTATCTGCCATGGTCATTCACCAACCATCAGACAACCAATGTGTTAGGAAGTTCACTTTGGGAGACATGAAGAAAATTTGCTCTGGATATTTTGTGGATGTGATTTTAAATCACAACAGCACCATGCGCTTGGGTCAGAGGAAGCAGGTGGGACAGGTTCAGGGAGTCCCTGTTGCCAAGGTATTGGCAGGGAGACGGGAGGTAGGTAATGGGAGACGGGAGGTAGACCATTCGTGTCTTTTCGGAGGCTACAACTAGTGCAGAATGTGACTGCTAGGTTATTAAGTGGGGGAGCCCAATGAAACCATATGTTACCAGTCCAGAAAGAACAGCATTGGCTGCTGGTGACCTACTGAAGCCAATTCTGGACAATGTCAGGACAAGCATAAAGGTAAAGTTAAAGGGACCCCTCCAGGGACTGGAGAGTTAAAGTTAAAGGGACCTCTCCAGGGACTGGAGAGGTCCAGTCGTGGCCGACTCTGGGGTTGTGGCGCTCATCTTGCTTTACTGGCCGAGGGAGTCGGCATACAGCTTCCAGGTCAAGTGGCCAGCATGACGAAGCCGCTTCTGGCGAACCAGAGCAGCACATGGAAACGCCATTTACCTTCCCGCCAGAGCGGTACCTATTTATCTGCTTGCACTTTGACGTGCTTTCGAACTGCTAGGTTGGCAGGAGCAGGGACCGAGCAATGGGAGCTCACCCCATCGCGGGGATTTGAACCACCGACCTTCTGATCGGCAAGTCCTAGGCTCTGTGGTTTAACCCATAGCGCCACCCGCGTCCCCAGGACAAGCATACAGTCCTAAATGGCTTGGGACCCAAGTGCCTAAAAGAGCACCTCTCCTAATATCAAATATCCTGGGCCATATAATTGGCATGGGGGTGGGGCTATTGGTCGTACTGTCACTAGAGGCTGCCCAGTTGACACTGACCTGTGAGAAGATCCTAAGTGGAACTACCTCACTTATGGAATGCCTACCCTGTAAATGTGCATCTGTCTCCCTCACTATGAACTTTCAGGAAGAACTTAATAATATTCCTGTTTACCCAGGCATTTGATGGCTGAAAGATTCTGTTCTTGGCAACCTTGACATTATTAGCTGTGAGGGAATGTGACTGCCTTATATGCTTTTAGATGTTTTTAAATCTTTTAAATATACTTTGCTTTATTTTTAGTAGTATTGTTCTACCTCCTTGGTGTTTGCTGCCCTGGTCTCCTTAGGGAGAGAGGGATAGAAATTTAATAAATGAAATGAAATTTTTACTGAAGATGCTGCAGCAAAATTTGAAACATCTGTACAGTCCTGGGCTTTTTATGAATTGTTTTCAGTGGATTCTAAAGTGAAATTTGAAATCCAAAGCAAATTTAAAATGAAAAGCACAACCATTTAAAACTGCACTGGCTGCGGTCCTATGCACACTTTTCTAGGAGTAAGTCTTATTGAAAACAGCAGCACTTTTCCCTGTTTCGGTTGTCAGTAAATAACCATATTATTCATGCAAAACCTACAAAGATTGCCTTGTTCTAGCTAATTCCAAAAAAGCTTTTGGCAGTTTTAAGCAATAATCTTCTGATTCATTTCGTATAAGAACAAACAGCAAAGATTCTGTAGCACCTTAAAGACTAACAAATGAATTGTGGCAGAAGCTTTCATGGACCAGATCACTACTGTAATCTGTAAAAGGCAAGCCATCACCACAATATTAGCCTTAAATGTTCCATACAGAAATGTTGCTATTCTCTGCAGTAGGCTCAGAGGGCTACCTTAAGGCTGTGTATGCACTTTGCCTTTAAAGTACATTCATAGCATATTCCCCACCCCCTCAAAGAATTCTGGGCACTGTAGTTTATAAAAGGTTGCTGGAAATTGTGACTCTGTGAGGGGTAAATTATAGTGCCTAGAATTCTTTCAGAGGGAGAATGAGCTTTAAAGGTATAGCACGTGCAATCTATGGAACCTCACTTTAAGAATTTATTATATTCAGGAAGATATGAGCAATAGTCCCAAAATGCAAAACTATTAGGGGTAGGAATCACTGACAAAATATTTCTGGATATTGCTCTCACTCCTTCAGCAATGCAAATCTTTATATATCCTCTCCAAAACTGCAATAATAACATTTTCTTTTTGAAAGGTGAGCAGTTGCAAGTTCAGCACAGAGACACTTTGAATAAATTTAGAGGAGAAAAGAAAAAATAGCATGACTAAAGGTGCTTACAACATTACACTAGCTCACAAATGATAAGATCACTTAGAACAGTACTATATCAGGCTAAATCAGGCACGGGGAACCTGCGGCTCCCCAGATAGTGTCAGACTTCAACTCCCATCAGCCTTAGCCAGCATGGCGAATGGTCAGCGATAATGGGAGCTGTAACCCAACATCTGGACAGCCATGGATTTCCTAGTCCTGGCCTAAAATATTTGTGTGAATGCAACCAAAGTCACTCCAATGAAGAGGTCAGAGAGAGAAGCAACAACATATATATGAACGTAACAGTTTTTTCATATGTATACGCTGACAGCGAAAGATTGTTTTAAATGAACAAATTCTTTCCTGCCTTGACATCATTTTGTGGAAATACACCTGGGGGGATGGTGATGCAATATGTCTAGCGTGGCCTAGTTGTGCGAAGTACTGCTGCCTTAAGTCAC